CACCTGGTTAGCAGTGGCCCTTTCCTTCTTCCCCAAGGTGTCCGGCATGATCCCAACATGAAGTATGAGCTGCAGCTGGCAAATCCTAAAGAGTTCTACCACGAGGTGCACAGACCTTCCCACTTCCTCAACTTCGCTCTCCTGCAAGAGGGTGAGGTATACTCTGCGGACCGAGAGGACCTCTATGCCTAATTGTTTCCTCACCTCCCCCTGCTTCAGATGTCCCAAAGACTGGAACCTTTTACCCCCAAAGAAAAGCTGGTGACATTCAGCAGCTTGGTCCCTTTTCCCCCTATTTGTGCTTCTTGTGTTATTGATCTCTGGTGGCTTGTAGTCCTGAGCAAAATATAATAATAAATTTTGTATAAATAGGAGTTTTTGAGTTTTGTTTGCTTCTTCCCCCCCCCCCCCCCCCCCCCCCGAGCTCAAATTCTGGGTATAGGGATGGCAGGAGACTGGACTTGATCACAGCAAAGTGCTGGCCTCAGCCTTAAAGGGGCATGAGGCCCCTAATCGGGCTGTGGACCAAGCATCCCCTAGATTCAGGGAACTGAGGTGGGGTTGGGCTTTCATACCCTTACTGCCTTGACCACATTTACCAACTGCCCTTCAAAATATTTGCAAACCATCACTCCTTTCAACATCCTTTGGAGCGGCTGCTGCCGTTTTCTGAGTCTGGAAGTTTATGGATTTCGGCCCGCCCCCCTCCCGGGAAACTGTGGTGCCCAGCGTAGCCCCTTAATCTGTGTGTTGCTGGTGGTTGGGAAAACAGGCACATGGCTGGACAGATGGCTGTCTCTGGCTGAGGCCAATGGCAGCTGTCCTTCCTCACCTCTCGCCCGTAGTACTTGACAGCCAAGTTGGGCCTCATGACTCCGGACACAGGGGTGGAGCCTGGATTGGGCACTGTGGGGAGGGATTGACAAAAGTGACCACTTAGAGCCCTGAGCCTCAGCTCTTGGACGCCTGGCTGCAAGTAGGCAGTCCTGCTTCCTGTGACCTTGGGGCTTGAACAGGACAGGGCCCAGGGGGCCCAGTGCACTACCTCCTTCCCCAAGCCTTTTTCTCTTAATTGCTCCTCTGTCGCTTCTTCCCCGCCCTCTACTGCCCTAAACTGCTTCCTGGGCCGGAACTGTTAGGCTTTTTCCTGCCCCGGTTAGGGTTGGAGGGGGCGGGCGTTGTCACAGCCCTTAACTTTCTGGGAGCATGGAGCCCGGGAAGGCGGTGCCTGGGGCGCACAGCAGCGGGCCTCAGGTGGCCGCGGGGTCAGGGACGGCCGCGGAGCTCGTGTACCATCTAGCGGGGGCCCTGGGCGCGGAGCTGAAGGAGCTGGCGCGCCGCTTCGGGCCGGAGGCGGCGGCCAGGCTAGTGCCACTCGTGGTGCGGACGCTGGAGCTCCTGGAAAAGGCTGCCGTGGGGCCGGACCCAGACTCAGTGAGTCACCGCGCTTCCCCCTGGCCACCCGCAGGGCTGGTGGGAGCCTCGCCTTCACAGCCTGGCCTCCCCAGCTGCAGGTGTCGGCGCAGCAGGCCGAAGTGGAGCTGCGGCGGCTGCGGGAGGAGAACGAGCGCCTCCGCAGAGAGCTGCGCTCTGGGCCACAGGGTGAGTGCGGGCACCGCCAAGGGGCGGCGGGGCGGGCCGGCTCGGGGCCTCCTCCCCAGGCCAATGCTAAGAACGCCCCTTCCTCAGAGGAGCGCGCTCTCCTGAGGCAGCTCAAGGAGGTGACCGACCGCCAGCGGGACGAGCTCCGCGCGCACAACCGAGACTTGCTGCAGCGCAGCCAGGAGACCGAGGCGGTGAGGGCGGGGCGGGGCGATGGGCGTGAGGCGGGGCTCCCCCACTCCACCCAGCGACGCCCCGCCTGCCTCCCCTTTTGCTCCGCCCCCAGCTGCAGGAGCAGCTGCAGCGCCTCCTACTGGTGAATGCAGAGCTGCGGCACAAGCTGGCCGCCGTACAAACCCAGCTGCGCGCCGCGAGGGACCGCGAGAGTGAACGGCAACTACAGCGCCAGGGGGTCGTGGAGCTGGCGCGGGACCAGGCCGGGGCGGCCGGGTACGAGCAGAGGCAGGAGCCCGAGCGGGCCACCGCCGACGCAGGAGCCCCGGGGACCCCTGAGGACCCGGTGAGTGCCCAGCACAGTACTCACAGGTCTGGTACTTGGTGGGCACTTGGGAAGGGTGCTGCGTAGCAGGTCCACCGGTAAGGTGGAAGGCTGCACACGGGTGCGCGGCGCCGGCCGGCCCCTGCTCCCACGCCCAGCCAGAGCACTGGGCTGTCATCTGTCGCAGCGCCCTCGCCTCCCAAGTCTCCCTGCCCGTCACTTGCTCTAGTAGTCCTGTGGTGGTCCCCGGGGCAGGGGAGCGCCGGTAGAGGCATCCCTCTGACCGAGCCTGTCCTCCCGCAGGCGGGTGCCCTGCAGCAGCCAGGGCGCCCCTCCAAGGCAGGACAGTGCAGCTTCAGTCGAGAGGAGCTTGAGCAGATCCTTCAGGAGCGGAATGAGCTCAAAGCCAACGTGTTCCTGCTGAAGGAGGAGTTGGCCTACTTCCAGCGGTGAGGGCGGTGGGCAGGGGCTGGGAAGCTCAGGGGCTCCTCTCACACCTGTCCGGGGGCCTGACGTCACCAGCTTCATTCTCTGGTTCACTGATCTATCCACAGTGACATGTGCCAGGCACTGTGCTGGACACTGGGAGGACATGAATCACACAGCCCCTGCCTTCCTAGAACTTCTTCCAAATGGGGGAAGAGGTAGTACAAAAAGTCACAGCAGCGGTCAAAGACAGATTCCTAGGAGGGGGCAACACCTAAGCTAATCTGAGGGGTGTTAGCAAGGCAGAGTGTTTGAAACAAAGGGAACAGCATGCACAGGTACTTGGTATGAGACCGACTGTTGGCTTTCCCACTGCTTACTCTGCCCTTTTCCCTCCTCTGTAGGGAGCTGCTCACAGACCACCGGGTCCCTGGGCTTTTGGTTGAGGCCATGAAGGTGGCTGTCAAGAAGCAGCGGAAGAAGATCAAGGCCAAGATGCTAGGGATCCCAGAGGAAGCAGAAAGCAGGTAAGTCCCTGCCTCCATTCCCACTGAGCCGGCCCTCCCTTGCTAATTCTGCCGAGCCTGATGACCCAGCCCGGTCATGCTCTAACCCAGCCTAATCACCCCTGGAGCCTACTGCCTTAGCCTCAGCACTGCCTGAGCCTGTCACCCAGCCTAGTCACTTCTTCAACCTGCTAACCTGGCCTGGTCACCCCCTGAGCCTGCCACTCCGGCCTGGTCACCCCCTGAGCCTGCTATCCAGCCTGCCACCCTTCTCTCTGGATCGCACTGCTCTGACTTGCCATGCTCACTATACCTCCTGCTGAAGGAATCTGGTAATGATGCTTCTCCACATGAGTTTTTCAGTTTCCTGTCTTAGCTGGATCTGTTTGTTCTCAGACAGTTAAGAATGTAATTACAGCCACGTGAGGGCCTGCTGGGAGGCTATAAAAGCCTCAAGATGTCCTTCCTTCATCTCCCTAGCACCTCCTCCTCTCCAGCCTTGAGGGTCCTGTAGTCACTCTGTCCTCCCTTGGCTGTTCCTGGGTACTGTGCAGAAGGCTGGACATAGCTGGACTCCCCTTGTCCCCCAGGGCCTTGATAAATGACCCCCACATCTCCTCTCTCCCCCTCTCTGCCTCAGTGACGATGAAGACAGCTCATGGCTCCTGCTCTCCAGTGATAAGGGAGCCCACCCTCCACCCACTGAGTCCAGAACACAGAGTTTGTATGTTGGGGGAAGAGGAAGGGCAAAGGTTGTGGGGGTGAAGGAGGGGCACCACCTTTGTTCTTCTCCCCTTTGCTGCTCCACTGACATTCATTCTGCTGTCCCGAGCACGCCCCTCCCTCCGTTGGCCCTGGCCCCTTCGCCTCCTCAATACCTCATGCTGTCCTCTCTTCCTATTGTGTCCCCTTTCCTCACCACTCCCTGAGCCCATAGCCTTGACCTCTCTGGCATCCAAGCTCAAAATACCTCTTGGTTCTCCCCCCAGCTTTGGCCTGTCCTATCAGGGTGAAACAGAGGACCCTGAAGCCCAGACCAGCAGCATGGCTCCCAGTGAGCTAGCGGGAGAAGAGGAGGCTCCACAGCAATCCCACTTGGAGCCTGGGGGCAGCCCCTCAGTCCTCAACTCCTGACTAGCTCTGCTCAGCACTCGACGAACATCTTTGCCTGGGGGGGTCTCAGCTGCCCCCAGAGACCTGACTTTGGAATTGGGCTATGGGTGGATGTGTGGCCTCAAATGAAGACAGGGCTCCATCCTTCTCAGCCCTCCGCAGGCTCTTTCCCAGTTCTGGCCTGAGCCAGGGCATGATGAAGAGCTCAGCCTACCTTCCTTCCCTGTATCTCTGTGCCAAGCCTCAGGGCCCAGATAAAAGTGCTTCCTTCCGGAGTCTCAGTTTTCTCATCCATAAAATAGAGAGCTAACTACCTACGTCCCAAGGCTTTGTGAGAATGGCCTAAGCTAATGTAATAAAGCAGCTGCCCACAATAGCCAGAAACGGCTCCACGTCTGTGTGTTAGTCGTCGGCCCCTGCCTGGCTCCGCCAGGACAGGCTGTGGTTTCCTCACAGGGTCTTGTTGGTTGTTAGTGGGTGGGGAGCTTCTCCCAGCTGGGGCCTCATTTGCGTAGTATGACCTAATGGAATGACGTGGCTCCCCCTCTCACCATACACCCTCACCTATCCCCCAGTATCCTGGGACTTGCAGCTCCATCTTCCTGCCCCTTCCAGCCCCCTCCAACTTAAACTGACTGCCCCCACTCAGCCTTCACCACGGCTTTCCTTTCCTTTTCATTTCTCTGGTGTCTGGTCTTCCCAGCACCCACCCACCCGCCCTCTCAGGGAGGTGCCTCATGGCAGCCCGCCTCTTCACACTGGTTTCCTCAGGAAAGGCCTTGGAAGGAAGCAGGGAGGGGGTTGGGAGCCGTGGGGGCCAGACTAACCCAAGCCCTCCCGCTGGACTGGCCGCCATGGGGCTGAGGCTTCTCCCACTGTTGCTGCTCTGGACACAGGGGACCCAGGGGTCCAAGCTGGACCCCAGTGGGCGGCATGTCTGCAAAGCCAGCAGGTGGGTCTTTGTGGGAAACTGATGTGGGGGCGGGGCTGGTCGAACTGGTGTTGAGGCATTGCCGGGAAGAAGGACGTGAGGGGAAGGGGGCCTGGGGACAGCCTGGAGGGAGGTGGATAGTCAAGGCCGAAGGTGGGAGGGCCAGGGATGGGATTAGGGACACTGGGACCGTGACTCTTGGCTAGACCTGCCTGATGGGGCTGAGGCAGCCTCCCACATCTCAGCCAGAGACAGTGATCCACCTGCGGAGCCAGTGTGTCCCCCGGCTGACCCCTCTCTGCCCCACAGCCCCTCTGCTGAGCTCCAGTGCTGCCAAGGCTGGAGGCAGAAAGATCAAGAATGCACTGTCCGTGAGTAGCCAGGATGGATCCCCACCCGAGAAGAAATGAGGACGTAGCCCAGTGACCCTTCCTTCCTTTCCTCCTGGGCCTATTTCCCCTCCTGAACCCTAGAGCTGGAGTCCATCCTGACACACACACCCCCGCCCTGAGGGAATGGCTCTTGAGGGGGCAGGGCGCTGGGGGGCAGTGAGAGGGGCCGAGTGTCCCCTTGTTGGGCCATGCCACTGTCCTTTCCACCTGGGCGGGATGTTTTTCAGCCATCTGTGAGGGGGTAGATGCCTGCCAGGAAGATGAAGTATGTGTGAAACCAGGCCTCTGTCGATGCAAACCTGGATTCTTCGGGGCCCAGTGCAACTCCCGTGAGTCCTAGTTTCACCTGGAGGATGAAGTTGCTAGGCGGAACTGGGGAGCTGGGAGGCAAAGCAGGTAGAAATGTGATCTTAGAACAGCAGGGCCACTGAGGAAATTGAGGCCCAGAGTCAGGAAGTGACGCATTCCTGGAAGATGCCCTGAGTCATCTGGTTTTTACCCATATCCACAAGGCACTACGCAGAGTTTCAGTTGTCTGCCCTTCACCATCATGTTCAACTTCTCAGAAAAGACGCGGGTTATCCGTTAATTGCAAAATGGGCACATTCTCAGTCTCCCTCACATGCCCTTTCTATACGTGTGGAGGGTGGAAGGACACCCCTGGCTGGGCTCTCTGCCCTCTCTGGTAGAAAGAGGGGCATGGGAAAGGGTCTGGTGGGCAGAATGGCCAGAGAGCAGGAATCAGGGCTGAGAGGAGACACTGGGGGCAAATGTGGCTGGCTTCCCTTGTGACCCTCACGGTCAGCATCTGGGCCGGGATGGACCCTCAGTTTACCTCGGGGGGAGTGGGGTGGGGGATGCAGGGATGGGCATGAGAGGGAGGAAATCCTACTGCTGTGTGACTCTGGGCAAAGCTTCTCCCACTCGGGAACTTTCAGTGTGCTCTGGAAGTAGAAAGCTGGGCCACTGCAAAGGGTTTTTGTAGTTCCCAGTCAGAGGCAGGAAGTGAGCTGTGCCCCAGGAGGTTGGGCTGCCAGATGTCCAAGGGTCTGTCTCTGGCTCTTGGGGGTGGGCCTGGCGCCCCCTCTTCCTTGTGGACGGTGGCGCGAGGCGGAGATCCACGCCTGGCCCTGAGCCTGCTGACCCCCTTCCGTTCCCCGCCTCCCGCCCCCTTTGCAGGCTGCCCGGGACAGTACTGGGGCCCCGATTGCCGTGAGATCTGTGCGTGCCACCCACACGGCCAGTGCGAGCCGGCCACGGGCGTGTGCCACTGCCTAGCGGACCGCTGGGGCGGCCGATGCGAGTTCGCGTGCGCCTGCGGCCCCCACGGGCGTTGCGACCCCGCGACGGGCGCGTGCCGCTGCGAGCCCGGCTGGTGGTCGTCCACTTGCCGCCGTCCGTGCCAGTGCAACCCGGCGGCGGCGCGCTGCGATCCAACCGACGGCTCCTGCCGCTGCGAGCCGGGCTGGTGGGGCCGCCGCTGCAGCTTCCGCTGCGCCTGCCACGGCTCGCCGTGCGCGCAGGAAACGGGCCGCTGCGCCTGCCGGCCGGGGTGGTGGAGCCCCGACTGCCGGCAGCGGTGCGAGTGCGTGCGCGGCCGCTGCAGCCCCGCCTCCGGCCAGTGCGCCTGCCCGCCCGGCTTCCGCGGCGCGCGCTGCGAGCTGCCCTGCCGCGCCGGCAGCTACGGGCCTCACTGCCGCGACAGGTGAGCGCGCGGCTGCGGGGCCGCGGCCGGGGGCGGGAGCGAGGGGGGAGGGGCCGCGGGCGCGGGGAGGGCGTGCGGAGGAGCTGAGGGGAACCGGACCCGAGGGACGAGCCGGGCAGAGGCGGCGGCGCGGGCAGACCCGGGCGCGGTGCTCTCCGCAAAGACAGACGGGGACGGGACGCGAGGGGGAGAAAGACCCTCGATGGCCTAGGTCCGGCCTCGCCCACCCCTTCGTCCGGTTACTCTCAAACAATAGTAGTACCAGCAAGCTATACTTAGAAGCGGATAAAAGATGAATCGCGTGACGAAACGATTGCAGGGTGCCTTTAAAACTCAGTGGCTTTTCAAACTTTGGCCGCCCCACCCACAATAAGAAATGCGCTTTGGGGCGCCTGGCTGGCTTACTAGGTAGAGCGTGCGACTCTTGATCCCGGGGGTGTGGAGTTGCAGCCCCTAGTTGGGCGTTGGGCGTTGGGCATGGCGCTTACTTAACAAATAGAAACAAGCCAAACAACGAAAAGAAGTGCGTTTGACATCCCACCTCTCTGCCTCTCAATACACACAGCTCTGAGGTAAAAGCTTAACCAGACAACATATACTTCTCTTTGCTTCATGTATTATATGTAATATATATGTACATATCTGCATATATTACATATGTGAGATGCACACACACACCGTAACGTTTTCTTTCTTTCTTTTTCTTTTCTTTTTTTTTTCCTGCTAAATTGATTTTATGAACAAATGAGTCTTATCCAAGCGCATGATTCCAGATAATTACTGGGAGAGAAACTTTTTTCAAGAAACTGTTAAAGAACCAATGAGAAATTAAGATAAGAAGAACCTTAGTGGAAAAGTTCTAGGAGAATAGATCCCAAGAGTTCATCACAAAGAAAAAAACATTTTTTCCCTTCTTTGTACCTCTCTGAGATGAGGGATGTTAACTAAACTTACTGTGGTCAGCATTTCACAATGTATGTAAGTCAAGTCATTATGCTGTTCACCTTAAAGTTACACAGGGCAGTATGACAGTCACATCTCAAAAAAAACAACAAAAACTGCGGAAAACTTTTTTTTTAATTTTATTTTTTAAGATTTTATTTATTTATTTGACAGAGAGAGACACAGCGAGAGAGGGAACACAGCAGGGGGAGTGGGAGAGGGAGAAGCAGTCCTCCTGCGGAGCAGGGAGACTGATGCGGGGCTTGATCCCAGGACCCTGGGACCATGACCTGAGCCGAAAGCAGATGCTTAACACTGAGCCACCCAGGCGCCCCAAAACTCTTTTTTTTTTAAGATTTTATTTATTTGGGGCGCCTGGGTGGCTCAGTTGGTTAAGCGACTGCCTTCGGCTCAGGTCATGATCCTGGAGTTCCTGGATCGAGTCCCGCATCGGGCTTCCTGCTCAGCGGGGAGTCTGCTTCTCCCTCTGACCTTCTTCCCTCTCGCGCTATCTCTCATTCTCTCTCTCTCAAATAAATAAAATCCTTTTTTTTAAAGATTTTATTTATTTGAGAGAGTGAGTGAGAGAGAGAGAGAGAACCCAAGTGGGGGGGCAGAGGGAGAGGGAGAAGCAGACTCCCCACTGAGCAGGGGCCCAATGCGGGGCTTGATCCAGGATCCCGAGATCATAACCTGAGCTGAAGGCAGACGCTTAACGCACTGAGCCACCCAGGCAGCCCGAAAACTTTTTTTTAAACATAAGATAAACTTGAAATTATAGTGATGAAAACAGACATGTTTTAATTTTTCTGCATTTTCATGTTATGGGATAGGAGATACACCGAGTCCCAGTTATGCCAGACCTCAGAGATGGCGTGGATAGGAGGGTTGAGAGGGGAAAAGGGATGGGAAGGAACACTGGGAGAAGGTTGGCCGGAGTACCTTGGCTGTTCTGGCTGGGCTGGGTGCTCTTGGTGACTGCGGGACCCTAGGAAGGCTGGGTTCTGGAATGGGAAGTTAGAAGGAGAGGGCTGGAATCCTACAGAGATCCTCTGTCCAGCCTTTTTGTTGTACAACATGGGGAAACTGAAGCTCAAACCTTCCTGTGCGCGCCCTGGATGCTCTCCAGTGTCCCTGGAGGCCTGGGTGGGGACTGCTTCTCTCCACTCCGCAGTGCTCCCATGAACGCCTCCTCTTCCCAGCTGTGGCCACTGCAGGCAGAAGGAGCCGTGCTCTGCAGACACAGGCAACTGTGCGTCCTGTGAGGCGGGCTGGAACGGGACCCAGTGCCACCAGCCCTGCCCGCCTGGCACCTTTGGCGAGAGCTGCAGGGAGCTGTGCCCCCACTGCCGGCTTGGGGAGGCCTGTCAGCCAGACACCGGGCACTGTCAGCGCTGTGACCCTGGGCGGCTAGGGCCCAGGTGAGGGGGCCGGCCTGTTCCGGGTGGGGTGTGCCTTCCTTCAGGATCCTCATTCCAGCTGCTCCCTCTGGGATGGCTGCCCCCCCGCCCCACACACCCTCATTCACACAGCCTGGGGGGCCTGCCTCCTGGTGAAGACTGAGGCGAGAGAGATGGGTGCTGATGAGGCCCTGGGCAGGGTTCTCTTCCGGCTCCTGCACCACTCAGGTATCCTGCTCTCTTCTTCTTTCTCTAGGGATCTGTAGTCTGTCACCTCTTGGGTTTGGCCCCAGGTTCAAGGCCCTGTTTACGCCTGAGCTTCACTGCTGAGGAGTAGACAGTTGGGGCCCTGAGTCCAGAAGCATGGGGGAAGATGGGTAGGACCCTTTTGTGGGGGGCTCTGCTCTGCCAGGCCTGCCCGGCCCGCCCATTCCAAGTCTCACCTCACCTCAGGTGTGAAGAGCCCTGCCCGACCGGCACCTTCGGGGAGGGCTGTAGCTCTACCTGCCCCACCTGTGTTCAGGGGACCTGTGATGCTGTGACTGGGGAATGTGTCTGCAACGCTGGCTACTGGGGACCCAGGTGAGAGAACTGGGGCCCTGGCAGGGAGGCAGGGGCCTAGGTCAGGCCTCTGTGCAATCTGTTTCCTGAACTTCCTTTCCTGGGCTTCTCTGCCTCCCACATACCCACCCCACATGTTCGTAATGCGAAGTTATTCCTCCTGTTGTGAGGTCTGCATCTTCCAGATGAGGGTCAGAGTGACGCTTCATCTAAAATGCCTGGCTCCCTAACTAGGTGGAGAAGTTATTTAGGGGTAGGACTCCAACTCCATTGTTGTTTCCCTGACGTCTTTAGGTTGTAGAACATAATCAAGGTCAATGTCTCCAATGTCAGGTTTTCCACCTCTAGGACAGAATGTAATATCAAATGGAAGAGACCTCATTTTATAGGGCAGAGGACCAAGGCCCAGAGAATGGGGCAGAAAGCGGGCTTAGACCTCCAGACCCAGAGGACTTTTCTCTGGATGCCGTTGGCATCTTGCTTATTGCACTCAGTGCCGGATGGGCTAGGGATGAGGGTCATGAGAGGTGGCTCTTGTCTGAAGGTCATACCCTGGGGGGCTGGGCACCAAGGGGCAGCTTCTGGGTGGCCTCTCTGGAAGATGGGCTTAGGGGCTACGGCATTCTCCCAAACACTGCCAGGGGTACTTAGAATGTGGCTCAGAGGTCAGAGGAGTCTGCTTGGGCATCATCCAGGGAAGTCTGTATGGCAGGGGGTGGGGAGCAGTGCCCAGAGATCTGCCTTCCCCTGTGCCCTTCTCTTGTCACCCCATAGCTGCAACACATCATGCCCACCTGGCTTCCATGGTAACAACTGCTCGGATCCCTGTGAATGCCCAGAGGGACCCTGCACCCCTATCTCTGGGGCCTGCCAGCTGGGTAAGGTGGAAGGGAGGGGGCAGGGCACCTGGGGGGCTCGGTCAGTGAAGCGGCTGCCTTCTGCTCAGGTCGTGGTCCCAGGGTCCTGGGATTGAGCCCCACGTCGGCCTGGGGAGTCTGCTTCTCCCTCTCCCACTGCCCCCGCTTGTGTTCCCTATCTCGCTGTCTCTCTCTCTGTCAAATAAATAAGTAAAATCTTAAAAAAAAAAAGGAAGGAAGGAAAGGAAGGAAAGGAAGGAAGGAAGAAAAAAAAAGGAGGGTGCAGGGGGCAGTAACCAGGGAAAGACTGGCCCTTTATATGGCTCCAGGGACCTACCACTTACTTGCCAGGCAGACTGGGCTCACTTAGGAGGCATTCCCGGGGCCTGAAATCTGTATGCTTACTTTGGGGTCCCTGAAGATATGACAGCCCCTGCCTCCTGAGAAACCAGGCTAGCATCCAGGAAATGAGCAGGCACCTGTCACACCTGATACACAGGGATGTGATGCACAGGGGATGTGTACCAGGCGTGACAGTTGGGAGCAAGGGCTTGTGGAACAGGCCAGGGACCATCAGGAGGGGACAGGCTAGCAGGGAGGCTGCCTTGGGGAGAGGGCCTCGAGGCTGAGTAGAGCCTGCATCTCTCAGAAAAAGGGGAGGGACCCATGGGTGGAAGATTCTGGGGAAGAGGCAGCTCAGAGCTGGAGATGAGACAGAATGGCCCTGAATATTGGGCCATCCCCTGCTCTCCCCCTCCCCCCCGCTCTCCCTAGGGCCTCGCAGTCAGGATGCGGCCCTCATTGCAGGCATCCTTGTACCTCTGCTGCTACTCCTCCTGGGCATCATCTTCTGTGTCTGCTGCTGCCGGGCTGCTCGGTTGGACCCCAAGGACAGGTGAGCTCTGGCCTGTCCCTTCCCCACCCCCAGCTCAGGCCAGGGGGTTGGGAGCAGGCTGGCATCTGGTTTCCTTTCAGGGGTGGGGAAGGGCTGGCCTTGTCACACACTTAAGTCAGAGGTAATGAGGTAGTTGGCAGTGGCCACGGCCTGGACACACCAGGTCAGCTGCCTGCCTTCCTTGGAAGCCTTCCATAGGCGAGTTTCCGAGTTGCAGGACTGGGAGCAGTGGGCACTGGGCCCCAGGCTGGCAAAACTCAAACCCGCGGCGTGTGGCCAAGGGTTTATTAACAGGGACCAGAGCAGGAAGGCGGGGAAGGCAGAAGCAGCAGGACAATGCTGGGCCGGGAGGGCAAGAGACTAGGCCTCAACACCTCCCCATTTCCTGAAAGGAGAGTGACACAAAAGTCTGAGCAGTGGTTTATCAGAGATGGTGGCTTTCTGAGAAAAAGAGATAATAGAAGGGATTAGGGGGGCTTGCAGGGGTGCGGGGTGCCCACTGGAGGGGAATGTTGTTTGCACAGAGCTTTGTTCCTTTACAAAATCTCTTCACAATTCTTGGTTCCTTGGAGACTCACAGCAGCAAGGAGGTTCAGAGCAGGGAATCTGGGGCAGGAGGATTAGCATTCTCAATTCTCAGAGGAGGACACGGAGGCCTAAGGTGGCCCAGCCTGTCAGTGGCATGCACAAAGCCCATGCTCTGTTTTTCTGGATTCTCTGTCTGGTGCTCTCTTACTAGTTCATGCGCTAATCCCTGAGCATCCTTCTCTGTGCTATGGGGTATTCACAGATGACCCAGTAGCCCCCCGCTGGGGCACAGAGCCTGGGGGTGGGGAAGAAGACCTTCACACGAGGACAGAAAAGGACAAAGGCTGTCAAAGGAATGGTAACAGTGAAGCCGTGGCTTCCAGCTTGGGGGTGGGGTCAAGGACAGGCTTCCTGGACGCGTGGCGCTTCCGGAAATGTAGCTGAGCTGGGACTCAGCCAGGGTGATAATAACACAAAGCTGCATTTTGAGGGAACCCCACCAGGTGCCTGGCACTAGGCTGAGTCCTGGAAAATGGTCTGATAGATAGGCGTTGTCCCCACTTGACAGATGAGGAAACTGAGGCCCAGAGAGGTGAAGCCTGAACCAGAGTTGCTACCCCTGGTCTATTTGACTTTTGAAGCTCTGTTGCCCTCTGTGGCAGGCCCGAATGTCAGGCTCAGTAGTTTGGATTTTACTCTGTGGCCCAAGGCAACCCCTGAAGTAGACAGTCACTCTGTCACCCTGCCTCTCTCACACTGACCCCAGGACCAGGATGGTCCTGGCCCTTTTCTGTTGCCCTCCCCAACAGTGGTCGCATGCACCGACCTCCCTCCTGTACCCCCAGGGCAGCAAGTGATGGAGCTGCTGTGTCTAGGATGAAGCTGCAGGTCTGGGGGGCACTGAGCAGCCTGGGCTCGGTGCTACCCTGTGGTTCCTTCAGCAGCCACAAGCTTCCCTGGGTAACAGGTCAGTGTGGGTGCTGAAGGTCAGGGGCTGGGGTGGGACAAGGTCTTCCGCGGAGCTCCGCACCTGACCTGGAGCCCTCTGCAGTCTCGCACCACGACCCGGAGATCCCCTTCAACCACAGCTTCATCGAGCCGCCCTCTGCGGGCTGGGCCTCAGACGACTCCTTCTCTTCTGATCCTGAGTCTGGAGAGGATGAGAGCCCGGCCTACTGTGTGCCACCCCAAGAAGGTATCCCCCCAAAAGCCCACTCGGCTCCGAGCAGCCCTGCCCACTACCACGTCTTTATTCCTGCAGCAAACACGTATCAAGTGCCCATTCGAGTGCAGGTCAATCTCCTGGCCGTGGGACATAGTAAAGAACAAGACAGAACATTCCTGTCCTCACCAAGCTCGTCGTCTGGGGGGCGGTAATCAGGCACGTGTGGGACAGAGTGATACGTGCTTTGATGGGGGACATACAAGTAGGGGCTCACAATCCGGCCATGTCAGGGGTGATTAGGGTCAGGGAAGATGTCTCAGCGTTGGTGATATTGGAGTTGAGTCTAGGAGAACCAGGAGGAGTTAACCAAGCGACCGCTAAGGAGGGGTGGGAAAGATGTTTCGGGAAGAGGGAACAACACACACAGAAGCCCGCAGGTGAGAGGGACACGACCTTAGGGTGTGGCATTAGTTCAAGGGGGAAAGGGTGGTGAGAAAAGTGTGTAGAAGGAGTCATGTCTCCCTGAATAGGCCCTTCCCCTGCCTCTGTACCCTCACCCTATTCCTCGCCCCATTGATGAGGCTTCCCAGCAGATGCTAAACTGAGTAAATGAGGACGGATTGGGGTGGCCAGCCCAGCTTTGGCCAAGCTCTTCTGTCTCCTCTGCCAGGGATGGTCACTGTGGCCCACGGAGAGTTTCCAGAGGCCAGCCTGGCTGGAGGTCCCATCCCTCCCCCTGAGGACGCCTCCACACCATTCCCCATCCCACGCACTTCCAGTCTCGCACGGGCCAAGCGGCCATCAGTCTCCTTTGCCGAAGGCACCAAGTTTGCACCACAGAGTCGCCGAAGCTCAGGGGAGATCTCCAGTCCTCTCCGAAAGCCCAAGAGGCTCTCCCGGGGGGCTCAGCTGGGTCCTGAAAGCCAGGAGGCTGAGGAGTCCGTGGGCTCAGAGAGAGCAGAAATGGATGACACCCTTCCTGGTGCTGCCAGCCCCAGGGATTCAGCCACTGGCCGCCGCCGGCTCCCCCTTGGTGGCCGGACAGTGGCTGAGCGTGTAGAAGCCATTGAGGGCACTGTCTTGGAGGGCTCAGGCTCTGTGACCACAATCTACATGCTGGCAGGGACACCCCAGTTACCTGAGGGCCCCGTCCGGTCTGTTCTCCGCCGTTTTGGTAGCTTCCAGAAAGGCCAGGCAGAGCCCAAGGTCAAGAGTGCCATCCCTAAGCCTCCACGCCGGGCCCTTAGTCGAAATAAGGGCAGCCCTGGGCTGGCCTCTGGCTCTGCCAGTCAGAGCCCCAGCTTAGCCCCGAATGATGAGCTCACTAGGCCCTTGGAGTCTGCAGGAACTGGGCCAGAGGAAGTGGCCAGGGGGCTAGGGGATGGCACCAAGAGCTCAGGGAGGGCCCAGGAGCTGGCCCCTGAGGGTGGTCCCCAAGAACAGGATCCCCAGAAGCTGGCTGATGGGGAAGGGCAAGAGGAGCCCCAGTATGAGAATGTTGCACCCATCTCTGGGCCACCAGCACCCTAAGAACCTTGAATTTGGAGAGTTAGAAGACTATGGATGGGGGCTAGGTGTCTGAACTGCCCCTGGATCAGATTGTGTTTTGCTGGAAAAAGATCTCAGGGCCAGGAAAGACAGACCAGAGCCTCTGCCCTTTCACGGGGAAACGTCAGAGTTGGAGGCCAGTTGGCTCTGGGCCCTGGCAGTGCTCTGGGAGTGGTCTGGAAGGCCTGGGCAGAGACCCCATAGAGTAGGGTCAGGAAAGGGAAAGAGATGACTGCAGGGACTTTTTCTCTGTCGTCCTGGACTCTGTTTGCCCCCAAAGGCTATTCTTTTCTACATTTGCAAAACATTTTTCTGAAATGGGAAACAACCTAAATGCTTGATGATAAAAGATTAAAGAAAGATTGCTGGGGTGCCCGGGTGGCTCAGTCGTTAAGCGTCTGCCTTCGGCTTGGGTCATGATCCCACGGTCCTGGGATGGAGCCCCACATCGGGCTCCCTGCTCAGCAGGAAGCCTGCTTCTCCCTCTCCCACTCCCCCTGCTTGTGTTCCCTTTCTCGCTGTGTCTCTCTCTGGCAAATAAATGAATAAAATCTTTAAAAAAAAAAAAGAAAAGAAAGAAAGATTGCTTATGATAGGTTCCTAAACAACCACAAAAAATCATGTTGAAGAATATTTAATATGGGAAATATGGGAGACTGTTTATGCTATACTGTTAAGTGTAAAAAGTAAGGTTTCTTTTTATAAATTTCATTTCTTTTTGCTTCAGGCTACATGTTTAGAATCCTTCCACTTTGTGTGTATTTTGTGATTGTTTTACAAACTTTTTTTTTTTTTTTGGTAAAGGATGTATGTGCATAAAAAAGATTTGAGGGAAAGGCATCAAATGGCATTTTTCCCGCCCTGGGAGATGAGATTGTGGCTGATATTTATTTTCTTCGTAAACTTTTGTATTATTTGTAAATTTTCTTTAGTGAACATTCTTTTCACTTTTCTCACTAGATTGAATTTTTTTAAAAAATTATAAAAAACAATGTTCTTTGTTAAAAATAAAAAAGTACTAACATTACACACATGTATAAAGTAAAAAAGAGATTATCCCTTTTCCTCAGAGGAGCCTGAGGGACAGGGTAGGGACCTGACTTACTTGTCACTGAATGTCTTTTGGTCTTGTTTGAGTTCTTTTCTCACATATTTGAATTACCTGGTCAGGACAGAAACAGTGGCTTCTTCTATCCCAGTGCTCAGAGAATTTCGCAGTTTAGATCCTTCCTTTCAGAGGTTTTTCTGGGTACATGAAAACAGAAGATCATATCGTTGTCCAATTTGCTTTTTTACTTAATATATCCTGGTTATATTTTGATGTCAGTATATATAAAGCTACCTCTTTTTATAAAAAATGGCTGCATGGAATTCCATCATGTGGGATAGCACAGGTTATTTAAATCATCCCCTACCTGTGGAGATTTGGGTCGTTTCTAATCGTTTTGTTACAATAAATGATGCGGTGTACTACTCTGTCCCTATTTCTTTTTGCACTGTGCAAGTTTTTCTGTAGAAGATGTTCCTAGAAGTGGAATTGCTGGGTAATAGGATAAGACATTAAATATTTGGATACTTACTTCAGATTGCCCTCCAAAAAAGTTACACGGTTTTGTATTCTTACAAATGATGGTAAGATCTATTTCCCCACACCTAGTCTGATAGGTTGAAATGGTATCTCATTATTTTAGCACAATAAAAATAATAAAGTGATGCCATGCTAAAGCTTCTTAAAAAGTTAAAATCTTTGTACAAAGGTTTTTTTTGCTTTTGTTTTTTAACCATCAAAAATTATATCATTAAAATGTGAATTTCTATGATTATTCTAAGTTTGAGCTTCTTTTTGTATCTTTAATAATTATTTGGTTTTTTTCCTATGAGTTATCTGATTATATTCTTTCCCCAATTTTCAATTGAGGTGTTCATCTTTTCCTCATTGATTTATAAGTGCCTGTGTATATCAAGGATATTAATTCTTTGCCCCATTTGTGATTGGTCATTTAATGCTGTTTGTATTTACAAATAAAAGTATCATATATAGAGTTTGTGATTTTATTATATCTTATCATTTTTTTTTTTGGTGGGCAGCAAAGCAAGGTTTATTGAGCGATGGCAAAGTGATAGTACAAAGCTCCCGAGGAGGGAGGGGACCGGAGAGGGTTGCCACCAGAGTTTCTAAGTCTAGGGGTTGTTTTGGGCTTGTTGGCGGGCTGTTTTGATCTGATTGACCCTCCCGGTGCCTGTCATCCAATCAGGTTTTTGTCACAAGGGAAAGGGTGGAGGGCTCCTTCCAGAGTGGTGTAAAATCCTTTTAAGGATGGTTTCCCCTTAGGGTGGGGCCCCTTTAGACAGTCTTTTTCTTTTTGACTTCTGAGTTTCTTTTTTTTTTTTTTTTTAAGATTATTTATTTGAGAGAAAGAGAGAGAGAATGAGAGAGCACCAGCAGGGGGAGCAGCAGAGGGAGAGGGAGCCCCAGACTCCCCATTGAGCTGAGCAGGGAGCCCGAAGCAGGGCTTGATCCCAGGACCCTGGCAACATGACTTGAGTCGAAGGCAGATGCTTAACCGATTGAGCCACCTAGCCACCCCTTTACTGCTGAGTTTCACGTCATGCTTAGTGGCAAGGCCTTCTCTACCCTAAAATTAGTGAAATAATCGTCTGCATTTTCTTCTGGTACTTTAGTGGTTTTATTTCTTTATGATTTGCCAGCAGTGCTGGTGTTGGGGCTTTAACACCCTTGACAAAAAGACTGAAAAAAGAAACCCAGAATTTCATTCAAATAGCCATGGATTCAAATCTCAGTTCTGATAATACTTGTTTTGTGAGTTTGAAATGGGATTTAAAACCTGTTTTTTCATCTGGGCACTTTGGAATGGGGATCCTGGCCATCTCCCAGAGTTATTGTGGGGATTAAATGACACAAACTACATAAAGCACCTAGGAAATTTTTAGTTCTCAATAAAGGGTAATTACTATTCTCGTCACCATTGTTCTCCCAGCTTTGAACCCTTTGTCCCAAGAAGCTGATACTTCCACCCCTTTTCATTTGTTCATGTTTTCACTCAACAAGCCCAATATTGTGTATCTGTTTTGTGCTTCTGTGTTAAGGGCTGGTAAACAAAGTTGAGTAAGACAGTTCTTGCCCCCAAATATTTGTTCATAGTCAGTGGGGAAAGGGAGGGACAAATAGAGGCACAGATAATTATAAAACAGTGCAATCAGTGGTCTAAGATAGTAAAGAATATTCCTGGGGGGGGCGCCTCGGTGGTTTAGATGGTTAACCGTCTGCCTTCGGCTCAGGTCATGATCCCAGGGTCCTGGATCGAGTCCCGCATTGGGCTCCCTGCTCCTTGGGAGCCCACTTCTCCCTCTGCTTCTCTCTCTCTCTCTGCCTCTCATGAATAATAAATAAATAAATAAAAATCTTAAAAAAAAAAAAAAGAATATTCCTGGGAGTGGTTAAGGAAGGCTTCCTGAAGGAGGTGCGGTCCAAGAAGTATCTCTGTTTGAAGGCCAGAGGTGAGAGTAGGGCACCTGCAGGAACCACAAGCAATTCCATGTGATTGGAGCATCTATGATCTGGCCAGTCAACCAGCCTCTAGGTGGAGGAAAAGACTGGTAGGTAGGGACTGTGTGGGTTAGGCAGGAGAACTTGAACTTTATCCTACAGGACAAATGGTAGAGAAGAATTGAGCAGAGGTCAGATTTACTAAGGTCAGATTTACCTTTCCCACAGCTCACTGGGATGGGGTTGGGTGAAGAAATATATCTGAAGGGCTGAGATTGGAGGTTGGACGAACAGCAGTTGCAGTCCTAGGGACACAGATGTGCAAATCAGATAAATATTTTAGGAGTTATGGCTGTATTGGTGGGATGGGGGTGGGGTGAAGGAGAGGGAGAATGATAGAGGGAGAATTTAAAACAAATTTCAAATATTTGTTGAAAAGATGGTTCACAGTATCTAACTTCGGTAGGTAGTGGTGCTATTATCTGAGAAAGAATGAGAGGGACAGTTTTGGGTGTAGAAAGTGAATTATTTTTAAAAAAGATTTATTTGAGAGAGAGAGCACGAGAGCATGGGTGGGAAGAGGGGCAGAGGGAGAAAATCTCAAGCTGACTCCCCACTGAGCAGGGAGCCAGAGGTGGGGCTCGATCCTATGATCCATGAGATCACAACCAGAGCAGAAACCCTATGACCGATGAGCTCACAACCAGAGCCGAAACCAAGAGTTGGAGGCTTAACCAACTGAGCCACCCAGGTTCTCCGAAAGTGAATTATTTTAGAGGTGTTTGAAACAGTTCAGAGATATGTATGGAACAGCTGCCTGGAAGCGTTCCTCAGGCAGGTGGCCGTAAGGAGGGAGGGAAGGGCTGAAGTTTATCAAGTGGCAGTCCCAAGTGAGTGCGTGAGATTCTGCGGGGTGGGTAACCGGCTAGGTAACCAGCCAGGACACCTCAAGCCCACAGCGCCTGGCGTGGTGTAAGCAAGGTTGCCAGAGGTGGGTTCACGGCGGCAGGGGGCGCACTTGGATGCGGGGACGTGAAACAGGAGGCTGCTGAGGCTCCCAGGGTCCTGGAATGATAAGTTCGCTCCCAGATCGTGCCAGGGAGACCTAGTTGAATCTGGGGTAGACCGAGGGTCTTCTGAGATCCGGCTAGCGACTCTGATCGGGGACATGCATCTGGGCTGCCGAACCTCCCCAGTGCCCGGGCTCCATCCCCCTGCCCTAGCTCTCTGGGGGCAGGACCATCTCTTTGATCAGATTGGAAGTCCGGAGCCCTCCCGACTCCACGCGCTCTGCCGGAGGCGCTGCCCGCCACGTCACCAAGCAGAGAGGGCCCTTGAAGTTGACGTCCAGGAATGGGACGTAAGGGGGTGGAGGTGGTGCAAGTCAATGGAGAAGGAATAGTCAACTTTGAGTAGGGATCCCCAAGGGGACCAAGGACAGCAGAAAGGGGGGACAGTCTGGATGGGAGCAGACCGTCCTAGGGTACAGACAAGTCCGAAAC